ATATGCTGTGGCACATCAACTGTCTCCTCTTTCACTGTTGCCAGGGACCCTAAGCATTTTTAATTGTTGAGCCTTTCCACCTTCTACAAGATAACAGCAGTCTCATACCCCTCCCCCAGGGCCAGAGGGAAATTAGGCTCCTAAAGTGACCAATGGACTGTGTCCCACAATCAGCCAATCCAAATTAACAGGACAGCATCCCTCATTTACATAAGAGGACCAGAATGAGAACCTAGGAGAAAGAAGGGCGGGAATTTAGGCTATATAAGTGGGTCATTTCTTTTGTTCTGGGAGACACTGGCTTGGGAGTTTTGTGCCCTCCAGTGCCCTTCTTGTTTGCAAGCAATAAAGCACTATAACACTTAACAAAGAGCTGCAACACTAAAATAAAGAGCTATAAAACTACGACACTGACGCCGGTCTTAAACTCCTCTGTGAGTTCATCCCACAACATCACAAAATGCTTAAAAAATAAAAACAATATTAGTAAATTAAGACAATTTAAGTGTTTTCCTTAACATTCCCAAAGGGAGCCATCTATATGCAAGTTAAATCTTTCTTCTGCTTTTACCTCTGAGTCACAGGGAATCTGTGTCATCTTTCATCTACTGCACTTGGCCCTGTGTTTAGCATGAACCAAGGAAACCAAAAGAATCACTCTCTCTTTTGGTAGCTTATTTGAAAATTGTGAGTGTGAAATACAGCAGAGACTGACACAGGAGATACTGTTCACTCTCAATGTCAGCAAATAATTTCAAAAGAAACGACAAAGTAACAAATCTAAATGCTATTAACTGAAAGCCTGCTTAGCAGCAATTACAATTTTTCAATGCATTCAAGATTTAAATTTATTTGATTTCTTTTCAAAATCATTCTTTTGGGTATAAGAGGAAGCTTATTAATTAACATCATGGTTCAAATCCCTGACATAGTAAGAAAAGAAAACAAAGAAAAATAGGTACAACAACTTTAACTCTGAATATTCATGCCCCCCCCCACCAAACTCCCAACTATTCTAAAAGCAAGCTAAAGTCAAAATAATTCTAGACATCTGATTAGAATCATCCTTCAAGAAACTCTGGCCTCCAGGGCCGACCTGGTGGCGCACTGGAGAGTGCGCTGCTTGGGAGCGCAGAGGCGCTCCCGCCGGGGGGTCGGGTCCCACATACAGACTAGGTTCCGCTCACTGGCTGAGCG